TTATTATTAAGATATTCGTTCATAGATTAAACTAACGTTTGTATTTGGATTGGCATGGTGATATTTCAACTATGGATAAACTAGAAAAATTTCAAAATTAATCATCTTAAAGGGCGGCAGTCGTCGTGCCGCGTTCTGTTCAATATGGGACTCATAGCGACGTTTACAACGCGTGTAAAATACATTGTTTATTTACACAAAATTCGAACACGCGCTGCGCGACGACCACCGCGCTTTAATTAAACCCGATGGATATTTATTTTCCGTGTCTGTCCTCGCTCACAGGTGTGTGTTATCGCGTTTTATTTGCAGTGCTTGTTGTCTCAGGATAGAAACCGACAGGAAAAAGGGTATTGAAAGAAGTGACCGAGTCTGTCCTTTATGCAAGTATTCTGAAATTGAAGACGAATACCATTTACTATTAGTTTATCCATTTTTTTAGTTCATTAGGGACAAATACATTCCAGGATACTATTTTACATTGCCTTCATATAATAAGTTTGTGGAATTGATGAAGACGTTTGACAGCCACATACTACAATCCATGGCAGCTTATTTGTATCATTCCTTAAAACTAAGATATTTTATTTATTTATTTATTTATTTATTTATTTATTTATTTATTTATTTATTTATTTATTTATTTATTTATTTATTTATTTATTTATTTATTTATTTATTTATTTATTTATTTATGTAATCTGTATTTTTGGGTCGCAAGCTTTGAACTATAATAAAGACCAATTAAGTTGCGGGGAGGAGTTTATAGTTTCCCCCCTTAGTTGTTATTCTAATTTGCTAAACTACTAGTATTGATGAACAAGTTTACATATACAGATGAGATGTGTATCATCAAATGCCATTTTTACTGTGAAATATAATTTTGAATACATAAACTTAAATGAACAACGATAGTCATTTTACCATCATACCAAATTTTTGATCAAGATCTGAAGCCAGTATACAATTATGTCTGTTTAGTCTAAAGTTATCGAAAGTAAAATACATAACAGGCAAAATGTTGCTTTCACATTTTGGAAGAAAAAGTGTACTCAAAGATTTGTATATTGTATTTGACATACAGTTTACGCGACACAAATTCTTTGTCAAAATAAATAACTTTCGAAAATTAAAATTCACAGGAATTTGTCTCAGCTATTAGAACACAATTATAGAGTTCTTATAATTCTAATTTAAAACATACTTCAACGACAATCAATCTCGTAGTATGAAAACCAACTCCAGCCTTGAAGTATGAATCTAAAAATAGTTAGTCAGTGTCCGGTTGAGAGAGAAATCTACAGTATTATTGCCTCCCGAGAATCCGCATCTTCAAACGCTGCAATTTCTGTGGGGTAATGATTCGTGACTGGGTTATATTCAAAATAAGTAAGAAATGCCAGGCTATGCAAACAAATAAATCACAAGAAGCGAATACGTAAATAATAAACGCGTAGAGTAGTTTATTACGTCAATACAGTACATCCACTGATATACCGGAGAATTTACCATAAAGAAATATGTAAGCAAACGTTAAACACAACAACGCGGTAAAGACTGGCGCTAAAATACTTTCTATCACGTTCGCACTTACGTCAACAGCATGTCTATTTATAGACGTGGTTTAAAGCAACAAATTGTACATGTATCAAATATATAAAGTACAGTATTTAAGAAACTATAATACAATAATCAGTGTTTTCCTATGATAACGATCAAATGCTTAACACGACAATTTCTGCAGTGTTTTTTTGTGTGTGTATTTTCAGAACTAACACTTATTTACAGTGTTCTACTGAGACAGCTTATATTCAAAGATGTATATGACATAAACGTATTATCCATT